TAAGGGACAGTGAGACAAAAAACATCTCACATAAATGCAGCATCACTTCACATGAAGCCTGTCCCTAAAGCTAATGTATCTGGTGGCATAAGGCCAGTGTATACTAAAATGAGATGAAATGAACAATAACTTGTTAAAGTCCTTGCGGATTTTTTGTGGTAAAAGGTGCCATTTGAAAGCAAGTCATTATGGCTGCTTGCAGATGTACCCCCCCCCCCAAAAAAAAACAAACAAAAAAAACAACAGTGCTTTATTTTAAACTCCGCACGTTCCCATGCCGAGCCCCACACATACCCAGAAGAGGCAGCAAGTTACTCCAGTCTGGCTCACCTGAAGTCTGTAAAGATCAGGAGCTCTAGTGGAGCTTCTATCTAATAACTGATTGACTCTGCTTTGATAAAAGTGCCAAAAAGCCCTGCTGAAGCACCCCAACTTTAGAGGCATGCAGAGCCAGACTGAAGTAACACACTGCTTCTTTTCGTAAAGCACAGGTTTTGGTGTTGGGTTTTTTGGTTTTTTGGTTTTTGTTTTTTAATGTCTGCAAGCAGCCTATCATTTTAGAATACATAAACAAAAGGGTGACCATTATTATATTTGTTTATAAGGGGTACATTTAAACATTGTTGCTATATAGGGCCAGATTCTAATCCACTTACTGCTCTGTCTGAACGGACTCAGGCAAGGTCTACTTCACTAACTTGGCATATAAGTGTACTTAGGTGCCCATGTGTGATCTATTCCACCTTGGGTCCTTTTCATCCTTGTTACTTTTCTGTGACTCAAAGGGCAGATATTGGTGTGTTACACAAGCAGATGCATTAAGGGATTTTCAGGGACTTGAGCTGTGGGGTAGCATCACACTTAAGTGCCTAAATCCACTCAGACACCCAGTAGGTAGAATAGAATCTGCTGTAAGTGACTACAGGTGCGTCTACATGTGATGCTACAGTGACACAGCAACATGCTATGTCAACGCAGCATCTGTGGGCATCTACAAGTGACCAGTAGCTACTTCGCCATAGCAATGCGCTCCCCTGGTATAGTGCACCACTATGGCGAAGTAGCTGCTAAAAATAACCATGCACCATGTGTATGGTGCAGAATGAGCTGTTACTGCGCCATGATTTAGTACTTTCTTCTGGAAGTACTAAATCATGGCGCAGTAACAGCATCCCTCAAAATTTGAAGCAGCTCAAAAAGGAGAGAGGAGGAGGAGGCCCCAGCTACCTTCTGCCTGCCATCCTAAGGGTAAGTGAGGTCAGTTGCTCAGAAAGCAGGGAGATCTTGGTTCTAAGCCTCTTTCAGATTGACGGTGTTTGAACCCACATCTTTCACATTCCAGAAAAGGCTTAACCACCAAGATATGGGCTAGACAGGACTGAGGATATCTTCCACCCTTCCTCTGGAAGCTGACCCGTTGGCCAGAAAGGAATGCCCAAGAATCGCAGCATCGGAAGAGCAGCAAGTAAGAAGGAGTGTGACTCTGTGGTCTACAAAGGTGGGTATAACCCTGGAAGCCAAGGTTCTGCTCCCAATACTGTTTATGTATTTTGTATTAAATAATTATTAGATAAAATGAATAAGCAGTAATGGGAGCCGGAGTGCCCACCCTAGCTAGGATAGCCTCCTGCTGACATCTTTGCTTACTCTTCCGGCTCTATTAATCTTTCACTCTTGGCATTGCATCAACAGAAGAGGTGGAGGATGTTTCCTGCCTAATCTATATACTAGTGGTCAGGGAAATTTTCTGGGAAATGGGAGCGGTGGGGTCAAACTACCTCACTCTGAGTGGGGTCTGGTGCAGTGGGGTCTGGTAAATAATATGACTGGACAGAAGAGGGGTAGGTGTCTCCTTCCCTCTTTGCTTTACTTTACAAGGAACTCAATATTGCTGTCAGGTGTATTGACTTAGTAGACACCTGAGTGAACTGGCTTTTGATGTGATGGAAGCCCTTTTGTCTGCCCACTGGGAAAATGAAAGAACTATGCCCCTCCCCAGGCAGAACAGCATAATCTCCTGATCTGAGATGCCTATTTTGGGACAAGTTGGGTGCGTCCAGAAGTGCATGTATGTTTTGTTCTCCTGGGACAAAAGCAGAGGCACACCTTGTGCCACCGCTGCTTGTCCCTGGGGAACACCTGTGCTAGGGGTATCCAGGGATCAAAAAAAAATGGGGGAAACCCCCCCAAAAAGGAGCATTGCATGCTTGGGCAGTGTGCCCTTGCAGTGCAGAGAGCTTTGGACTGTGCAGTATGTGGCACTGCAAACGTGTTTGCAGCGCCATATACCGCACAACCATGCTTGTCTGAATGCGCCCATTGCTGCTAAGTCTTAGACATCCAGTAGGCAGAATAGCATATGGTCCAAGGAATCCAGCAAAATTAGTTAAGAATACTTAGAATAAACAGATGAGAGGGATCTTATGATGAGAAACATGTTTGGGGTTTTCTGTTTTTCCTTTTTGTAAAGACTTACCATTTGTCAAGCGGTCAAACAAGAAAATGTCAAAATCCCACATTCCCACTTTGGATAGCATATGCTGGAAATCAAATATGAAAATCAAAATGACTAATATATCAGATTGTAAAGCAGACACTAAAATATTTACTACTGCACATCAATCAATCCTAAGAAGCACTTGCTGCCACTACAGAATTATCCTCAACAGAGTTACACAGATAGATTTGAAATTAGATTCATATATCAATGACTTAGACTTCAAAAGCCAAGTTTTACTCTGCTGCATGAAGTATATTCTGGACCTTTTAACTGATAGTTGTCTAGCACTTGAGGTAAATGGAACAACTTAGAATATGTTTTCTAAATAAAGCTGAAAAACATTGTAAAACCAAGGAAAAGATTTTCTCAATGATCCATCTTGCAACACAAATTCTGCAATATTCCCACAGCTTCACAGTTTAATATAGCCTGAGTCCTCCAGGGGATTTTTTTTCTTACCTGCTGTTGTGATATGAGCCAGAATTGCTGCACTGTATTTAAAAATCCACACAAATAGGCATGATTCTGGGAAAGCTCCGGCTTATATGAAGCATGTATGATTACAGAGAGGACTCAAACACTGCCCCTACCAGATATATAGTTTTACACAGTTAGCTTATTGGATTCAGGCTAGTGGATCTGGAACAAGTGCATTAAACAGGGTTTGTCTATATGAGATGCTAACTGTGCAGTAGCCTAATACTACTGCGCAGTAGCACGTCACAGCAAAAACCATGCTAATACACTACTGGGCAATAGTATTAGGCTATTGTGGAGTTAGCATCACTAAAAAGCCCATGCTACTGTGCAGTAGTGCTAATTACTGCACATTGATTTAGTACTTGATTATACAAGTACTAAACTTAAAGCTCAGTTACTACGGTGGATTAATGAATGTGTAGATGTGCCCAGAATGTCTTTATTTTGTTCTCCCACCAGCCATCCATATAGTTAATTAGAAGCAGTCAAATGTGCATCTACAAAAGACATTTACAGTGGTGTAGACTAATTAGCTCCGCAGTAAACATATCAGTGTCTACACGTGTACCCTATTAGGCTGGAATAAGCTAATTAACTCCTCAGCAGCCTAGTATTTATAAATACAAGTACTATCCTGCTGCAGAGTTTTTGACTCTGAAGCAGCACACATGTAGATGCTGTCTTAGCTGGCTGGGGCATGAAGGTGCTTCAGTATGGAGGCTGCCTGATGGCTAGCCCTGTACTGAAGCACCTGGTGCCCCAGTCAGCCCCTCCACAGCAAGTTGAACTGATGCTGGCAGGCTGACTCTGGCGCCTCCTGCTAGCTGGGGCTGCTCTGACCCAGCTAGATGTGCCCAGGAGCTATAAACTCTGGAACAATAAGCAATAAGCTCTGGAGTTTATTGCTTCATATTAATTGCATGTATAGACGTGCCCTGTGAGCAATCTTACTGATACCAATTGGACTACTCATCTCATTAAGTATTACTCATCTTGAGGAAGAGCTGCAGAATCAGGTGATTACATTTTGCCTATCATGAGATCCCTTGCAGTTGCTGGCCTCATGTGGTGGATCGTTGCTATGGCCCGTTATATACAGCTGCTACATTTCAACTCACAGGTAGCTGCATTCCACTAGCAGATTAAATAATCCCGTGTATAGTTTTAGATCAGTTTACATTTGTTATTCACTTGGGAATCATTCAGGGTGAAAGGCATACAAATTATAACTCTGTCAATTAACAAATCCAGGCTGTCATTTGAATTGGACTCATCTGAAATGTTGGGATTAGGTTTAGACATTTTCTTGTTGCTCTGAGACTAGCTCCTTAAATTTATAAAAATAAAACCCACAGAAAAGTAGATCACAGTTTAGGGGGAGGGTGGGAATGGAAGTGGGCCATTTCAGCCTGTTCACCCACCCGGCTGCTTTTTTGAAGGGCGAGTTATAAATTACATTCAGTGGCAGGCTGTTTCCAAGGAGTGGGAGGAGGTAGGACTTACCCTTGCTTGCCCCAGGTAGTCTTCATCCAGTAAGTACAGAGAGGCTTGTGGTACAATTCCACACAACAGCCTGGATGCATGGAAATACCTCTGAAAGCTTAACAGTCTTTTCACCTTTTTCTTGGTGCCAAGTTCCCCCGAGTGTGTTGTACCTGTGAAAAGCAATTAGTACAGAACCCGTCACGCAAAAGGTCAAGAACAACTTTCTCCATTGTTGAAAAAGTAGAACAATTCCATAACTGCGAATCTCTTCTCCTGACCTTGCAAGAACTCACAGTGCCATATTCTTTGCTGTTGAGATGCGGTGGTACAACATATCCTGTAGCAATGCATACAAGAGTTTCCCCTTTCGTTTTAGAAATAACAGTGTAGCGATGTATCACAGACAGAAAATAGAGCCCAAATGGTTATGGGTAGGGGTCTACTCAATTCCTTATTTCATGGATTTCATGGAAATTGTGATATCCAGGACTGTCCATGAAATCAACTTGGAAAAAAAAAGTAATAAAAATAAGTGGGAGCCAGTAGTCCTTGTTGCTGTGGCCCAGCCTTGCAGCCCACTCATGGGGTGAAAGCACTGGCTGGTGGGGCAGCATGAATGGCAGCGTACAAGATGGTAGCTGCCCCCTCATCCTTCTTGTTCTGTTAGGGCCTCTCCACTAAGTAGTGCTGATGCGAGCACATCCAGGAAATATCCACAAAATTTGCTCTTTATGCTGCAACCAACCTGTAAAAATTGTTTCATCTCACCACGATTTAAGTTGATCCCTGGTTATGGTAGCAAGTTAGGAATTGAAAGACCTAGGTTCAAGTCCCTGTTCTACCATGGATGTCTTCTTGAATAAGTCCCTTTTCCCCAATGTGCCTCAATTTCTCATCTGGAAAATGTGGATGATATTCCTTCCCTATGTAGCAGGGGTGTTGCGAGGCTAAACTACAAGAGTAAGGCATTTAGATGCTACAGTAATAGAGAGGTATATGTACAGAGCAGTGTATCTTATTGGCCAATCTGCAATAAAGATGACAAAAAACACTTAAAATAATTTTCACTGCTGTTTTGAAAAGTGAGTAAGGTAAAACCAAGGTACAACAGAGAGAGATTTGATGTGATGGTGTATAAATAACCCTACAGAACAGTAACGTAACTAAGGGAGGCAAGTAGGGCACCAGGGTGCCAACATACAGTGGGGGTGCCAGAATGGTAGCTGCTCAGGGAGCCAATGCTGTGGCCAAAGCAGCAATAGCAGCTGATGGATGCAGGTAATTCATGGTCTATAATGAGCAGTTAATGGGGCATCTTGTTTCACCCCTTTAGATCAGAGAGGACATGCTATTTTACATAATTCCTTTTTCCCACCTGCCCACTGCCTTCACTGAGGTACAACAGTAGGGATCTACCAAATTCATGCTGGAAGTAAGGTGTGTGGCAATTCCTTTAATCTTGCATGTTCCCCTGTGTACACCTTGTCCCTTGCTCCCCGCCCCCTCTTGCCGCTGTTTAGTGGAGGACCTCACCGCTCCCTCCTGATCAGCAGGGAAGCTAAAACCACAGTTTTAAACATGGTGCTGTTTTTGCCTTCCCACCAATCAGCAGTAAACAGCAGGGCTGTCTGGAGCCCCTCAGCCAATCAGTTGTGGGAGGCAAAAACGGCACCATATTTAAAACTGCAGTTTTCACTTCCCCAATGATCAGGAGGGAACCACAAGCAGGGTCCCTCCACCAATCAGCATGCATGAGGAAACTTGCAAGATTAAAGGAGCCACAGTATACCCTACTTCCACCATGAATTTGGTAGGTCCCTATACAAGAGTTATGAGTGCAGGAGTCCCTTTGGGATTCCCATTTGCTTGGGTGAAATTACACGTTAGAGTTAGTGGGTGCTAATTCTAAGGAACGTTGGTTTGTGCTGAGGCTAATCAGTGCTTGTGATCAGTCACACATCCAGGGTTAATACCTTCTTCAATGGGCACTGCTCAGACTTGCTGCTAGAGGGCTGGTGAGCAGGGGTGTGGCTAGGGGCTGCAAGTCTGCTCCATGCTTGCTCTGCTCTCTGGTCCCCTAGTCACAGTATAGACTGGGGAGGAAGGGGGGAAGAGCCCCCCCACCCCACTGCTTGGATATTCTGCTTTGCCCCCCAAATTGCCCTGTGGCCCTCATCAGCCCTCAGAACCCCCCTCTGCCCCCGACACCCCCACCTCCTAGCTGTCAGTGAAGGTCTGGATGATAGCTAGTCTGTCTGGAACTAGCACCTCCTGGGATACTGGGGGACTTGCAATTAGTGATTTTTATTGCAGGTGAACGCCTAGACACAACCTGGGTAGCACAGCTCAAAACCTAGGTAGCACAGCTCAAAGATAAACCTTGCCTGAAGTGCCGTAAATTTAAGATGCCTAAAGGGCACTTAGCACTTGTTAATGAGCCTTAATGTGTAGTCATTCAAGTTTTAAGTGCTCTTAACATGATCTAATTGTAACGTGTAATCTAATCTTACACTTAGGTTGGTAAAATGCAGTGCATCCAGGAGAGAGAATAGAGAGAATGATACTGTGAGGAAAGGCCTCCTCCAGTCCTGAATAGTACACACTATTTAGGAAGTTGATATTATATACTGATAAGCCCACAAGAATTTTTTTGAGGCTCATTGTTATGTAGAGAATGCGTTAATGGTGCATGTCTGGCATGGCAGGACATGCAGTTTTTGGAACTGGGCATAAAATTCTTCTGATCCCAACCATGCAATTATATTAGCATCTGACAGGGGCCTGCGTTCCATATCAGGAAGGGATGTTACAGCATAAAAAGCCTGAATAACTTTTTGATGTTGTGGGACAAATCTAAGGAAACTGGATATGACAAAACTCCCAGCTTTTGGTAACAAATCATGCTTCTAATTACTGTTGGATTGTAATGAAAGTATATGTCTTCAGCAATCTCAAAATGGAAATGGGACATAGGGAAATTCTGATCTACTCAATCTCTTGTGGAATAGAGTTGAAGCCAGACTGTGTCAGGCTTGGAAGCTGAAAGAGCTAGATGTGTTTCTAAATGAATTTTTCCATCTGTAGCATCTGTTTGTAGTTTTCTTTGCACTTTTCCCCATTTGTCTCTACTGTTAGATTTGCCAGGAAACCTTGTATACCTAATTTTGATTCAGTTTAATACCGTCTTCTTTCATGACAGTTTGCTTTGATTCTGTGTGAGGTCATGTGTGGTTAAAAAAACAGGTGTCTCTTTCCCATGAATGTGTGAGTAGTGTGGTCTTGGATGGTAAATAATAAGTGAACCGGAGTTCATGAACTTCCATGCCATCACCATGGTAGCATGAGTGGCCCTGTAGTGTTCATTGTGAATCAGCAATAGAATTCAGTTCTCATGGTCAGAAAGAAAATTGCCTGCTCTTCAGTGTATGCACCCAGAAACCTTCTCTGCATGGCTGGAGTTTATAAGAGGTTTACAGCGCCTCTGAATAAGGAGTTTCCTGGCAGAGATGTTGATTTTCACAGTGTGCAGCCTTTGCAGTATAGTCTGCTTGAGCCTGCTGTAATGATAAATTAACAGAAGTAAATCTCCATTAGCTACCTAAATCCCACCTAAGGATGCATTTTCAATGCGCAAAAAACATGACCCATTTTGCCAAAAACTAGTATCTGTGATATTGTTCAGTGTTTTCCCTGTGCACTGAGCCTAGTAAGGTTAATTACAACTCAAGTAAACTTTTAGTTTCCCAGTTTGGCAAAGAGGTGTATCAAAGGGAAATATTTTACTTGAGTTATATAACAGAAATGTGCTCTACTGACAAAAATATCAGTTTGCTTCCCTAAAACAATGCTCCATTGGAATCTGCAGTTTTCATAAGCCAGGTACAGACATTATACTTTTTCTGGTTTAGGTGGTCAGAAACCGGTCTATACCCATAACAGAATACAAGTTCAAAGTGCACGGGTTTAAAAATGGCAGAACCTGGTCTAAGGTAAACCTGGAAACTTGTAGTATCAGACTTAAATGATTTAGGTGAAACTGGTCTATCAAACTTCAGTACCTGATCCCCTCTGGACTCAAGTTAGGCCCCTGACATTCCAGGACCCTTTATGGCTTCCCTGCTAACCACCCATCACGGGGTGGCTTACTAGCCTCAGCCATGCTCAGCTGCTCTGAGCTGTCAGCTGCAGGCAGCGTGGGGGAAAGGGAATAGCTGTAGCTCAGGAATTTTCTGTGTTTATGCAATGTCCCTAGGTGGGGAGGGCAGGCCCTGGGGGAGGTGGGATTGGGCCCCTTGGGGCTCCAGCAGGTTGCAGGCAGCAGTTGCAGGCACCCAACATGATTCCTACAATTGTGATTCCTGCAGTTCTACTAGGGGCCTCCTGCTGCCACCTGTAGTTTTCTGGGGCTCTGGAGGGCCTGGTTCTTCCTTCTGCATAGAGTAGATTTGTAGGAAAATAAATGTGTGCTAAGGGCATCTCTCACTACTCTTTTGCTTATTTCACTTTGTATTTGTGCTGAGTGTTAGTTCAGCTGTGAAATTCAAATTTGACTCTCTTTATCACTTCTATGGGAGTTGAAAATAGGCATTTAAATACTTTTGTGGCACCCTTTAGAGAAGTTCTTAGATACTAATTTAGCATCTGATAAAATCTGTGCCAGTTTTGGAAAGAAATACACACATTTCATAGGTATATGGTGGTCTAGCTGAGGGCTATCCAATTCTCGGTGGCTGGGGGCTGCACACCCTACAGGCAGCAGACTCTCCAGATGCACAGGTGCCCCTTGCTGCCCTTAACCAGGTGCACAGTGCTGGTTCCCTGCTGCATGCATTCTCCTCTGCTGCCATGTGCAGCCCAGTTCTTGTCCACTGCACATACAGCACAAGTACCTCAGTCCCCTCCCCCACTGCCATGCAGTGTGGATGCGCTGGCCCCCTTCTGCTGTGCTGCCCTTAGTGGGGAGAAGAAATGGGAGCCAAGAAGGGAGGGGGAGCTCAAAGTCTTCAGTCACCACTGCATCAGAAGCACTGATAGGAACTATGTCCAGCCAGGAGCCCACGAGTAGCATGTGAATTCCTTGTGGACAACATGTGGCCCATGGGCTGCCAGTTGGAGATCCCCGACCTAAATGATTAGTACTGTTGTTAAAAATGTGCACTTTGAGTGCTTT